TACTACTACTACTACTACTACTACTAACTACTACTACTACTACTATACTACTACTACTACTACTACTACTACTACTACGACTACTACTACACTACTACTACTACTACTACTACTACTACTGCTTTACTACTACTACTACTACTACTACTACTACTACTACTACTACTACTACTCTACTCTACTAAACTACTACTACTACTACTACTACGACGACTACTACTTCTACTACTACGATTATTATTACTAACGCTACTATGACTATTACTTCGACTACGGCTACGTCTACGACTACGACTACGACTATGACTTCGACTTCGACTTCGACTACGGATATGACTACTTCTACTACCACCACCACTACTACTACTACTACTACTACTACTACTACTACTACTACTACTACTACTACTACTACTACTACTACTACTACTACTACTACTACTACTACTACTACTACTACTACTACTACTACTTACTACTACTTACGACTACTACATCTACTACTACTACTACTACTACTACTACTACTACTACTACTGCTGCTGCTGCTGCTGCTGCTGCTGCTGCTGCTGCTAAAAATAATACTTGTCCTCTTCCACCTCCTTCTCATCATGTCTCCTCCTCCCCCTTCCTCACCAACTCCTCAGCCTCCACCTCCTCCTCCTCCTCCTCTTCCTCCTCCTTCTCCTCTGCCTCCTTCTCCTGTTTCTCCTCCTCATCATCATCATCATCCTTCTCCTCCTCCTCCGCGTCGTCGTCTTCCTCCTCCTCCTTCTCCTCCTCCTCCTCCTCCCACCTTTCCTTTCTCCTCCTCCTCGACCTCCTCTTCGGTCCTCCTCCTCCTCCTCCTCGATCCTCCTCTTCCTCCTCGATCCGCCTCCTCCTCTTCCTCCTCCTCCTCCTCCACCCCCCCATCCCTCCCTCCCTCCCTCTCCCTCCGTCCTTCCCCGCCTCCGCCTCCTGCTCCTGCTCCCTCCTGCTCCTGCTCGTGCTCCCTGCGCCTGCACTTCTCCTCCTCCTCCTCCTCTTCCCACCTCCTCCCACCTCCTCCCACCTCCTCCAACTTCCTCCCACTGCCTCCCACCTCCTCCTCCTCCTCCCACTCATCTTCCTCCTCCTTATCCCACTCCTCCTCCTCCTCCTCCTCCTCGTCCTCCTCGTCCTCCTCGACCTCCTCGACCTCCTCCTCCCCCTCCTCCTCCTCCCCATTCAGTCATCCCTCTTCCTGGTAAAGAGCTCCCGTCCGTAATTAGGTTGGTCCGGACGCCTCGCTTAGGAATTCCTGACAACTTACAGTTGGATCTAGGCCAGAAGAATATCCCTCAAGAACATGAGACCCTCCGTCGGCTAAATCAAACCGCACATACAAGGGTACTCTCCCCAACATGTACAAGAAGCTTGGGGGGTGAAAAAAAGGGTCTGCAACAGGGGGTCTGCATGGGGGCTGAATGGCCCGTGCATGCTCAATAGATCGGTCATGTATGTGATCGGGTATGATTGGCACCCAATGTTGGCGCGAACAAACGCGTTGCCCGCGCGGGCGAACGCGCCGCCCATCCATAATCGTTCGTGCGTGCGGGCGTTCTTGCATATCGCGCGTGGGGCGGCGACGGGCAGTGCAAGTGTGTCTTGGTTGCGCGATTGCTGATCGCGTATGTTCCTAAACGATGACTTGTCGACCCCTAAGACAGATTGAGAATGGGTCCCGCGATTCTCCCGAACTGTAAATTCACTTTTCCTGTTTCCAAATATGTGGATTCACATCTCCCTTTCTCCCAAAATTTAAATTCACATTCTGGCCCTTGTTCATAAAGATTCCGATTCCAAAATAAACATTGTGAATTCACATGTTCCTTGTTTCCAACATGTGGATTCACAATTCTTTTCCCAAAATGTGAATTCACATATTGCTTGTGTTCCCCACAGTGTGAATCCATAGTGCCCTGGCGCTTCAGATCCCCCAAACTGAGGCGCAGTGTTCCGCATGTCAGATTGGCTGGGCAGATGTTGACACGCACCCCAGTTTGTATTCCAACCTTCGCTTCTTGCGCCCTCATCGCGCGTTGCCTTCGTCGCATTTTCCCCAGCCCCCCGACTCCTTGCTTCGTTTACCCTCACGTCTCGCGCATGGGTGCAGGCGGGGAGCTAAAAATGGTTAAAGGGAAATTGAGACACACAAATAAATACACACAAATAAAAACCAATCCTCATATTTTCATATATTCTCTGGGTTTTTGTCTTCCCCACCACTTCCAATATTTTCACATATTTTCCTGGGGATCGACGATTAATTGTGTCTGTGTTTTTCCCCTCCTGATTGGTTCCCGCGCCGAACACAGCAATCGAGGATGTATCGCCCATGCGCGGCCCATAGAGACTCCATTGCCGGGACCATGCGCCCGACCCCCACACTCACCCTCCAAGAAGAGCACCGGGGCACCCTCCCCGAACCGACCTCGATCTTACACCTCGGCCTGCTGGCTGTAGGATAGCAGAGGGCGGGGTACAGAATTAGCTCACGTGGCTGGTTTCTTCCTGGCTGGTTTCTTCCTGTCTTCTCCTGGCGCTGGGAGGCGCTCCTGCATCGAGGAATAGGCCCGGCGGCGGGGCGGAAACCAGCTGCACGAAGCAGATTTCGTAACCCCCTCCTTCCCTATCGTACGTACCCTTTCGTCCGGCCCGGGAAGAAGGGCGGTCGAGAAAACGGCGGCGTCGTGCAAGTGTTCGGCAGCGCGCCCGGGGGGAAGTGAGGAGGCGTGGGCCGTCAACGAAGGCGGCGGGACTTCTCAGGAGCCCTCCTCCTCCTCCGCCTCCTCCTCCTCCTCCTCCTCCTCCTCCTCCTCCTCCTCCTCCTCCTCCTCCTCCTCCTCCTCCTCCTCCTCTGGCCCTCCGAGAGCTTTTGGGCCTTCGGGGGCGGCCGAGAGAGAGCTCCTCGGGAGGCCCGGAGCCCGCCCCCTTCGCGCATCCCCTTCCCCGCCCGGCTCGCCGCCGACCAATCACGACGGGCCTCTGTGGTGCCGCGTTCGGCCCCTGAGGGCCCTCGCCGGGCGTCCAGCTCAGAAGGGGTTCGGGGCATTTGTACTGCAAGTGTACTGCGCCAGGGAATTGCACTGCATTGTATAGCAACGAACGCATTGCACGCAAAGACCCAGCAATACATCTGCGGTCTGCGTACCAGAATGCATTGCACGTCCCAAATCTATTGCAACCCGACGAATCTATTGCGCCAAATCTATTGCACCACCCCCTTGTCGCTGGACCCCCTTTTTGGGTCAACCAGACCCAGGGCCATCCAAAAAAACGGCGAGGGATGAAGAGCCGGTCAAGGGAAAAAGAGGCCGAGGTCTCCAGGGGCCGACGCCGAGAACAAGACCGTGGCCTCGGGGGTCTGGGCCCGGCGTGCCACGTCCTTCTTCTCTGGCCTCCTGGAGGCGCCGCGTCGCAACGGCAAGCTCTGCCGCGGAAAGAAGGAGGGGGGAGGAGGAGGAGGGAGGAGGAGGAGGAGGAGGAGGAGGAGGAGGAGGAGGAGGTCGAGGAGGAGGAGGAGGAGGAGGAGGAGGAGGAGGAGGAGGGGGAGGAGGAGGGAAGGGAGGAGGGAGGAGGGAGGAGGACAGTCGCCCCGAAGGGCTGGTGCCCACGCTGAGTGGATGTGGGCACGGCAAGATCTGTCGCGAAAAGGAGGAGGGAGGAGGAGGAGCAGGAGGAGAGATGAGGAGGAGGGGGAGGCAGGAGGGGAGAGGAGGAGGAGGAGGAGGGACGAGGGAGGAGGAGGAGGAGCCCCGAAGGGTCTGGTGCCCACGCTAGCGGATGTGGGCACGGCAAGATCTGCCGCGGAGGAGGAGGGAGGAGGAGGAGGAGGAGGGAGGAGGAGGAGGAGGAGGAGGAGTGTGGAGGAGGTGGCGAGGAGGAGGAGGAGGGTGGAGGAGGAGGAGGGGGAGGGGGGGAGGAGTAGGGGAGGAGGAGGAGGAGTCGCCCCCGAAGGGTCTGGTGCCCACGCTGAGCGGATGTGGGCCATGCGGGGAGAGCCGCCGTCCCAAAACCTCCCACGTCATAACTTTTGATGTGCCCATGTTCCACAACCACTGTCAGGTAGGAGGGGGAGGAGGAGGAGGAGGAGGAGGAGGAGGAGGAGGAGGAGGAGGAGGAGGAGGAGGGAGAAGGAGGGGGAGTATGATGAGGAGGAGGAGGAGGAGGGAGGAGGAGGAGGAGGGAGGAGGAGGGAGGAGGGAGGAGGAGGAGGAGGAGGAGGACCTCCTCATCCTCCCTCCTCCCCCGTCCTACATATGGCACAGTAGTGGTGGCGGAACATCTGCCCATCTGTTTTTGCTCACCGCGTCGCCCCCGACAAAAAATTGCAGCGAAGACCCCCTCCCTTGAGAGAGTCGCGGAGCCGAGCCCTGTCCCCATGGCCGGTGGACCCCCCTAATAGTTATATGTCGGGCGTGTCCCCCCACAGGGGGATTTTCGACGAAAAATCAAAACCTACCCCAAAAATACCCCAAGAAGTCAAACAATGCTCTAAAACTAGTCCCCATACTATTTTTTGACTATTTTCTGACTAGTTTCGGGGTATTTCTTATTTTTCGTCGCAAATCCCCCTGTAGGGGGACAGGCCCGACTTAGCCCTATAGATGGGGGTGTAGGCAGCTGCCTTCGAGATTCCAAGGGTATAACCCGACTGGGGTGCTGAGGTAGTGGGGGTCTGGATGAGGACGGGGATATCGACGAGCGCGTTCCACGACTCGCAAAGAAGCTACTCGCAAATGGCCTACGTTCGCCGCGGGGATCTACGAAAAATCTGACCGAAGCAAGCACATGGCTTTCAGACGTTTGCGAGCAGCCACTGTGCGAGTCGTGGAACGCGCTCGGAGAAGATGGGCATAGGGGTCGATGCAAGGACGCTGACGCGTGCTGCTTCCCTTCCCGGCGCGACGGGGTCTGGAACGCCGCCGTCGCCTCCGACGGCCCGACTGCGATATGTTCGGAAGCGGGCGCCGGGCCTCCCGAGGCGCTGGCGGGCGGGCAGCTCGGCAGGAGCGCGGTGCCTCTGGGCAGGCTCGAGGCTGCGCTCGAGCAGGGCGCCGGGGCAGACGCGGCGAGCTCCGCGGGCGAGGCCAGCACGGTCACGCCGGCAGCGGAGGCGGAGAGGCACGCGAGACTTGCCATCGCTCGGACGTCTATTGCCCGTGCAGTCTTCGGCTCCGCGCGTATTTTTGTTGTTGGTCGATGGTCCAGGATGGTCCTCGATGGCTCTCGCCGAGAACAAATGCACACGTCCGAGCGATGCCAGGGAGAAGCACACGCAGGTCGGGGGCTGCTGGAGGTGCCCCTGGCCCGAGGTGCCCCCAGCAGCTCGCGCAAGGTTGGAGCCCCAGGGGGCCTCCGGGCCTCGCGGGGGGTGCTCTGGGGGCCCTGGGGCCCTCTGGGCCTCCTTGGGAATCCTGGGGGAGGAGGAGGAGGAGGAGGACGAGGAGGAGGAGGAGGAGGAGGAGGAGGCGGAGGAGGAGGAGGGGGAGGAGGAGGCGGAGGAGGAGGAGGGGGAGGAGGAGGCGGAGGAGGAGGAGGAGGAGGCGGAGGCGGAGGAGGAGGAGGAGGGGAAGGAGGAACAGGTGGAGAGCAAGAAGCGAGAACCCAACGCAGGAGGCTTGGGAAACAGAACGTGGATTCGAGGGCACTTCTAGCAGCACCCGAGCAGGGGGGGGCCGTGCACATGGGCGGCCACGCAGTCGACAGAGATGGACCCTCTCGGTGAGCTTGTTGTCGCGAACATGGCGATGGTGCAGATCGGTGGGGCAGGCACGCGGCTGGGCTGCGCGGCACCCTGATGCACTGCCAAGAAGAGCCAAGGAGAAGAGGTGGCGGACGCGGAGAGGAAGGCGGCCCTCCCAGACCATGCAGGTCTTGTGGCGGCGCAGGAAACACGCGGTGCATGAAAATGGCATACGCGTAACCTCTCGGAGCTCCTCGCGGAACTCGTCCATCGGCACAAGACCTCCTCCTTCTGGCGCGCGGAGCGCGCCAGGGGCGGCGCCTGAAGCGCCGCCACCACGGATCCAGCGCATGGGAAGACCTCCTGGGAGGCCAAACGTCGAAAGCATGTTGAGCCGCCTTAATGGTGCATTGAGCCAGATTAGACCGAATGGATTCCGCAGAATTCGGACCACGGATCTGAAAGCGCCGATGCTTCAACCTTCCAGGAGCCTAAAAAGGCGGTGGAGCGAAAGGCGGGGCAGGCTGGACGGTTTCCCCCAGGGCAGCAGGCGACCCGCGGAGGAGGAGGAGGGTGGAGGAGTGGGAGGAGGAAGGAGGAGGAGGAGGAGGAGCAGCAGGGGGAGGAGGAAGAGATGGAGACGAGGAGGAGGAAGGAGGAGGTGGAGGAGAAGGTAGGAGGATGGGGGAGGAGGAGGAGGAGGAGGGGAAGGAGGAGGAGGAGGAGGAGGAGGGAGGTGGAGGTGGAGGAGGGAGGAGGAGGAGGAGGAGGAGGAGGAGGAGGAGGAGGAGGAGGAGGACAAGCTGAGGGCGCGTCGCTCTGCCTCGCGGGGCGGGATGACCAGGGCAGAGCGCGGCACCAGGACGTGAGGCCAGCGTGAGGGGCGCGCCGAAGCGCTGGCCAGGCCAGAGCTGGCGGCGCGGCGCGCGGAGCAGAGCAATCTCCCGACTGCCAGACCAAAGCTGTGAGGCGGACGAGGCCCTGGCAACCCATCGCGCGAGTGAGGGGCCTTCGCGCGCAGGGCGCTGCGGTGGAGGGCCCTCGAGACGCACACGTGCCACAGAATCTTGGCCATCGAAGCCTCGTTGCGTCCGTGTGCTTCTTCCCCTCCGGAGGATTGCGCCCCAGGTTCGGGCCGGACGAAAGGGGGGGCTACCAAAGGGGGGTGAGAAGCAGCTCACGTAGCAACCCGGCGCCTCCGGGCGCCGGGAGCCGCCCACGCATCGAGGATTGGGCCTGGCGGCGGGGCCGAAACCGGCTGCATGTAGCGGATTTCGTTAACCCCTCCTTTCCCTATCACCCCCTTTCGTTCGGCCCGACAGGGCCCTCTCACCCTGTCAGGCCCGCCCTGGGCCGAGCCGCGAGAGCGGATCGGGCCGGACACGGGCAAGGCCGCCAGCAAGCCACCCCGAGTCGCCAGAGGGAGCGCCGCGCCCGGCCCCGGCCGGCCCCCCATCGATGCCAGCAGGAGGAGGGAGGAGGAGGAGGAGGAGGAGGAGGAGGGGGAGGAGGGAGGAGGAGGAGGAGGAGGCGGAGGAGGAGGAGGAGGAGGAGGAGGAGGAGGAGGAGGAGGAGGAGGGCGGAGGAGAGGAGGAGGAGGATGGGGGGAGGAGGAGAGGAGGAGGAGGAGGAGGAGGAGGAGGTAGGAGGAGTGGAGGAGGCGGATGAGGAGAGGAGGAGGAGGAGGGCGGAGGAGGAGGAGGAGGAGAGGGCGGAGAGAGGAGGAGGAGGAGGAGGAGAGGGATGAGGAGGAGGAGGAGGAGGAGGGGAGGAGGAGTGAGGAGGAGGAGGAGGGGGAGGGGAGGAGGTGGAGGAGGATAGGGAGGCTAGGAGGGAGGAGGAGGAGGAGGAGGGTCGGGGCGAGGCGAATCGCTGAAGAATGTGGCACGGGCCCGCGGATCGAACGGCAGGGCAGGGGACTCGCGCCTCGATCGCGCCGCCGGCAGCGTGTTCCCCGCGCAGTGCTTGCGCTTGCCCATCGGTCGACGGGAGCAGGCAGAAGCACGAAGCCGGAAGGCGCCCGCCCCTCGAAGAGGAGGGAGAAGGTGAGGCCGCTCGATCCTTCAAGTCGGCAGGCGCTCAAAAGCAGATGGGGATCTGGGAGTCCGAAAATACCTGCTTGGGGGTTCTTGCCTGCCTTGCTGAAGGGGAATTGGGACACACAAATAAATACACACAAATAAAAATATCCCCCATATTTTCCTATATTTTCTGGGTTTTTGTCTTCCCCCCCACTTCCCATATTTTCCCATATTTTCTGGGAATCGCCGATTAATTGTGTCTGTGTGTTTTTTCCCCTCCTGACTTGCTCGGGTCGGTGTCCGGGCTCCCTCGGACTTCGCCACGCCCGCGGCCGTGCCCGCCCGAGAGGGCCCCCCGTGTGGGCGCCAAGAGTGCGCTGGGCGGGCGTCCCGAGGCTGCGCCACGTGGGCGCACGCGCCCAGTCGTGGGTGCCGCGTGGGCGCCCTGTGCGTCGGGAAGGTCTCCCGAGGTCACACCGCATGGCTCACAGGCCAAAGCTCCGACTGCAGAATGCACACCGCATACGTTGTACACAGTGGCTTGCACCACATACCTCGACATCGCTCGGACGTCCATTCCTTGTGTGTTTGTTATGTTTCGTGCGTGGCGTTTTCGCTAAATGATCAAGGATGCTCCTCGATGGTCCTCGCCGAAGGAAAAATGCACACGTCCGAGCGATGCCAGGATACCTCGCACGAATAGCTCATACCGCGCAGCGTCCCCTTCGACGGTGAAGGAACTCACTGCTTAGGGGTCAACGCTGGGTAGTTGGGTTTTTTCTTCATCTGACCCTGACAAGTTTGCTTGCATGGAGGGGGGGGCTCCCCAGCGACCCCCCCAAGGGAACGGCGGAGACAACAGGCCGCAAGGTTTCCCGCGCGCGTGCCCCGTTCAACACTGGATAACCAGGCGGCGAGGGAGGGGGAAAGCAAGATGCCATACCAGTAAACTTTCCCTGAGATCCGACGCCAAGAAAAAAATACAACATTGTACAAACAAACTCGATTGGAGCACTGGACTTCATTTTCTGTCGCGCCCCTATCGGTCCGTGAGGGTCGCGGGGCCCGAAGCATGGCAACATCGCCGGTTACGAAAAGCATGCGACATCAGGATGTCAGTGCGAACAACCGACCGAAGCAGCCGCGCCATGACGGCACATGGGCTGCAGTGCATAACTACGGTGTGTGAAACAGAAGTGCAGCTTCATAGCGGACCGCCAGCTTAGCTCACGCGGGAGGGGAAACAACAAGAGGGGGGGAGGGAGGACCGGCGGGGGGGACAACAGCAAGCAGACAAACCCTGTGCTCAGGTCGGGCATGTCCTCCTACAGGCGCATTTCGGAAGAACTATGAAGCATTGCCAAAAGCAAATCGAGAAAAGTCAGAAGGGCACAAAAACTCGTCGCCAATACTGCTTTATTATTCTTGCACACTCCTCCTGTACAGGGGGACGCCCGACTTTTAATAGGCCCCGTGACGGAGAAAGGCAATGCTGCCGCACAGAGCAGGGACAAGGAAAGGCGACACCTACACCACCAGGGCGAGGAGATGCGAGGAGGGCAAGGGGGGTCTCCCTGGTGGTTATGGAAATCGGGGAGATGATCGCTTATCTATCTTGTTCGAGCGTCGAACACTGTCGCAGCGCTGAGGCCAAGGGCCCTTCGAGAATAAACAGCGGCGGCAGGGATAAACACAAACAGAGAGAAAGAGCGAGGAATGAAACAGCAGGGCCCCCGAGGCTTCTGGGGGAATCCCTCCCGGGCCCCCTACATTCCTGGGGAGTGAGCTTGATTCACACCTGGTGGTGTGGTCACCCCCCCCCTCTCTCGAGGACCTCCCCAGCCTCCAGCTCGGGGAAGCATCGCGTGGACCTCCTCGCTGGAGGCGAGCCCCCCCTGGAGGTGTTGGCACGCATATTGCTTCTCCTTCCTCCGACAGGAAGGGGGAAGCTCTTGAACCCTCGGGGCGGATCTCGCCCTCGAGGAGGAGGAGGAGGAGGAGGAGGAGGAGGAGGAGGAGGAGGAGGAGGACGAGGGGGAGGGGGAGGAGAGGGGAGGGAGGAGGAGGAGGAGGAGGAGAGGGGAGGAGGTGGTGGTGGAGGAGGTGGAGGAGGAGGAGGGGGAGGAGGAGGTGGAGGAGGAGGGAGGAGGAGGAGGCAACGCAGCCGAGGGCCCGGGAAGGGCGGGCAAAGCTGGGCCGCCTTTTTTTCTTGCACCGCCGCCCTTGCCGTGGCAATCACTCCTACTGGCAGGTGGCCTACGTGCGGCGGGGGGGGGGCGAGGGGGCGGGCTTCTCCGCAGGCCCTTGGGGTAGGCAGACTCCGTTTGACTCTCAGCAGCGCCCT